GCCTGGTGGTTTCATGAGCACTTTGCTCACCCCGCCCAGAAGCCTCGCCGCGGCCTCATTTCCCCCCGGCCCTCAGAGCGCCTGCCCCAGCAGCTCTCGTGTTTCCGCCATCCACGGTCTGGGCCTTGGGGTCCCTGGCTAGTGCGAAGGGGGTAGACATGTCCCATGGCTTTGGGGACCCTGCCAGGCATCCTCTGTCACGTGGGAGTGGCAGATGGGTGCATACCTGACACCTAGAAAGCTCCTTGAACGTTATCAGAGAATGGCATGCACCCCTTAGGAAAGCCCCCAGGGAGGCCACGGGGACCCCTGGTGGAGGGGCACTGAGGAATGGCCAGTGGGGGTGGAGGAGTCAGGCCGCTGAGCCGGTTGCTGGGGCGGAATCCGGCTCCACGGCATCCAGCCTGGAGCCCCGTGCATGTCCCCACACGCCCGGCCCTTTCACTGCGGGCCAGTAGGGCGTTGAGGCAGCGCGCTGGGAGTGTGACCTGCCCGGCCTGCCCCCCAGGGTGCGATGTGGGTCCACGGAAGGCCGGGGTCTGGAAAGGCCTTTGCTGCTTCCCACAAAGCTCACCCCAGCCTCATTGGTGGGTAGTCAGTGACCCCGGTTCACAGATGAGGGTTCTGGGACCCCAGGCGCAGTGGGAAGAGCCAGGCCGAACTCCGCCCGCCGTCCTGCCTTGCCTGCCCCCACCGTCCTCCTCTCTGGAGGCTTGAGTCCCTCGGGCCTCTGGGTGCCTCTGCCAATGGCACTCTGGCCCTGGACACTGAGAGGGGACTCGGCTTTTCAGTGTCTGGAGCTCAGGCACGGAGCAGCCGTGCGCGCGTCTCCGTTCTGGGTCTGAGCAGGTGGCCTGAGGCCAGTGCCTGGAAAGGGTGCAGAAGGCCTGAATTTTAAAGGAGAAACAGCTCTGGAGAGGAGCCGGCTTGTCACCAGGTCCCCTGGGGACTGGTGTGGGGTGGCAGCAGCGGGCAGGGGCAGTGGAAAGTGGAGGTTGAGACCCCCAGGTTCCTGGCTGGAGGCCAGGGAGCTTTTCGGGGTCACTCCTCGGTGCTGTGTCCACTTCCTTGGCTGGCACTCGGGGGCCCTAGAGGCGGGTCCGTCCCCACCCGGAGCAGCCTCTCACTGCTGCAGACCCAAGAGGCCACCAGGGTCCAGCCTTTGGCCGGCTGAGTGTTCAGATGGCCCCTGGCCGGCCGGGTCGCACAGCTGACCTCTCCCCATCCCCGACCTGGGTCTGAGTCTGCTCCCCGCCCCACCTGGCCACCTTGCCCGGGCAGGGGCCCGAACAATTAAATCCCCTCGTCCCCAATTGGCTTGTGGTATTAAAAACGAATTGCGATCAGCCGGGTTGTCATTTCTACCTGATAAAACATCACTTTTATCGATCTCACGCACCCGGAGCCGTCATTCATCTTGCTTCGGCGTTTACTCATAATGGCTCATTCGTCTTGATCAAAGTGTGTCCTGCATGTCTGCCCGCCAGGCCCTGCAGCCCCACGTGCCCACCCGGTGCCTTTCCCTGGCCCTGTCCTGGGGGACAGGGGGACAGGCAGTGGGAAGATGGGGGGGAGGAGGGGGTGGGGTGGCTGGGAACCGACCCTTGGGGACTCACGTAATTCTGCCATAGTCCCCGCTTGCCATGTCCCTGCATCACTGCCTTCCAGCTCACCCCGCCTGCCCATGTTCCTGGGCCTGTTGGTGGCACTACTCCCCTCCCCCATCACCCTCCAGCCCAGGCCTCCGCCCCTGCCCCTTACCCGAGGCCCTTAGAGTCCTTCTCTGGGTGCTAGCTCCTCCCCCAGGTGACCCCTGGCCCCTCTAACCCTGACCCCGGAGCCACAGAGAAAGCAGGCTCATCTGACTGGGGACCCTTTGCCTAGAGGCATCGGGTGTGTCCTGTTGTCCAGCAGACACTGCAGACCCCACCCTGTACTGTGGGCTCATCGTGACCCCGCCTCTGCCACACTCTGCCCCAGCATCAGGACCCCCGGACCTCTGGCTACCAGGTGTTCTCCACCTGCCCTCTGCCTGCCCTGCCCTACTCTTCCTCCAGGAGCCCAGGTGTCGCCTCCTCCCGGAAGCCCTCCGAGACCATTCTGGGGATGGTTGGTACTTCGCTGCCTTGGCTGTCCCTGTTAGTCTGTCCGCAGCAGGGAGCCCAGCGCTGGGGCCACCGGGAGGTTCTCTGGCTGGAGAGCCATTCCCCTCTGCCCCTCTCATGGCGCTGGTGTCAGGGGCTGAGTAGAGGATTCGACCCCATGACCTGCCAGCAGAGAAGGTTCCCTCCTGGCTCCCGAGTGGGTGTCAGTGCCAGCCCTCTGTACTGTCACCCACCCTGCCCTGGCCCCACGCCACCCTCTTGCCTCAGAGCCTCCCTATGTGCCCTGCTCCACAGCTGGTTGGGAGGGGCTGGCGGGTCCCGGCTTGGGCCCTGGCAGCGGCCCAGCCTCTCCCTGCTCCGGCCCCGTCCCACCTGGGTTCTGCCCCAGCCTGTAACTGAAGTTGGGTCTTCCGAGCCCACAGGGGTCTCTGGCCTCAGTCCCCCCTCCTCTGTCTACTGAGGGTCCCTAAGCCAAACACCTGAGTCGGCAGGCGCTCCCTCGCTCAGAGCTGCCACCCCGTTAGGTCCTCTCGACACTCACCTGGCTGCCAAAGCCTCCCCCGGGCACCGTCTCCCACCTTCTTGGACCTGGGCAGTCAGAAACCCCCAACTCACCTGCAAGGCGGGTGCTGCTGCCTCATGGGCTCGGGGCGTCCAAGGGCAAAACGTGGCCGCCTTCGGTCACAGCTGGATCCACGTGCTCAGACTACCCGGTCAGGGCCTGGCCGGCGCAGGCGTGCACCCCCACACCACACAGCCCCAGGCATCCCGGGTGGGAGCCCCGTTCCCACCCCCCTCACGTGTGGGCTGCGAACGGCAGAGCGAGGAGCTGGCGGGGCCTCTCCCTCCCGTGCCCATCCTGTGCCCCTGGCCGGGCAACGTGGCCTCGGACCTCGTCCTGCATCGTGGGGACGGGTCTTGCCCGCTCTGCTCTCTCTGATCCAGTCCGTCCAGCAGAGGAAAGGAGAAAGTGGAGGGCGGCATCCGGGCCCCTGGGGAGCGCGCGTGGGGGCGTAACGTGCACGCAGGTGCCGATGGCCCCCAGCTCCTCACGCACCTGACGGGGGTTCGTGTCTGGGTCGTAGCCCCACTTTCCATGCTGACCTTGCCCCTGCATACCTGCTCTGACCTGGGGTCCCCTCCCGGGGGTCCACAAGTGCCCTGGAGGTGGCGTGAAATGGCTGGTCTCCCGGCTAAGAGACAGGCTTCCGGAAAGTCCCCAGCCTGCAGCCTCGCCGGGCGTGGCTCTCCCTGACTGCGGCGGCACCCCAGCTCTCCAGATGTACCCCCTTTCCTGAAGGCCCCGACCTTGGGGGGACAGTCCCCCATTTAACGATCAGGAGTGTTGTTTACTTTTTACCCCTGCGCAGACGTCAGTGGAGAAAGTGTTAGTTGAATGAACTAACTCCTGCTTCCTTGCTGAGGGCATCTGCTGTCTGGTCTGCAGACTGGTCCCCGGGGCCACAGCGCTTTGGGGACCAGCCTTCCTCTTGTGCCTGTGCCCTGTGGGGGTCGACCCCTCCCTCCTCTCTTGCAGAGGTGCCTGCCCCAGCCACACAGACTGGTACAGGCTGGACATCTGTCCCACACAAGTGAGATCTATAAGGAAAGGGACTCTCATCCTGGGGAAGGGGTGTCTCGAAGGCCAAGTCTACCCCCAATCCGTCCTGGTCACATGTCCCTGAGGGGCTCTGCTCTGGCCAGTGTGGGGTAGGCCTGGCCCGGATGCCCCAGTCCCAGGCGTCTGCGGGGACGCCCAGCCCGAGGCCTCTGGGAATTACTGGGTGACGCACACACAGCCACCGAGGCAGTTAGGGTTCTGGACCACTGAACACCTGTACAATAGTTCATATATTTATTCTTAAGCAAGTTATCAATAAAAAATTTAATACTAAAATGCCTTTACATAGAGTTTGCTGTTCATAAAACATTTGTGTTTTCTGTGTTTGTTTTTAGTGTTTACATTGAAAAAAACCCCAACCCTCCTCTTAGTTTACACATTTACAATAGCCGTGCTTCTGCCAGGGGTAGCCGGGGGGGGGGGCACCCCACGCACACAGAGGGAGAGGGAGGGGGAGCTAAGGACGGAAAACCCGGCGGAAGAGGAAAAGGGATCGGGAAGAGGGCCGAGGAGAGGGTGCTCGCTCCTTCGCGCTCACGGCCCGGTGCCTGGGGTTGCAAACAGCCTCAGACTCCAGTTTCCGAGACCGGGCTGTCCCCACTGTCCCCACTTGGCTGCTGGCCTGGCCTCCTCCATCAGCATCTTCCTCTGCGTCCCCAGCCGCGAGCAGGACCTCGGCCGCTGTCTCCCCAGACGACCGCCAGGAATGAAATATTGCACTCGTGCCAAGACAAAGGGAGAGTCGGGCGGGAGAGGTAAGCTGGGGTGCAGGGGACCCCCTCCAAGTCCCTGCACGTCCCTTGCTGCCACCAGGAGTGGGAGGAACGGCGACCCCCCCAGGCAGGGCTGCGATGGCTTCCTGCTTGGAAAGAAACGGGGGCCGAGAGGGGCTGGGGTTGGGGTGCCAGGCACCTGCCAACATCGTTTGGACTGTGACTGTGGGTCACACGAGAGCTCATCCTAAGGAGCAGTGGCAAACTAGGGGGTTTTCCTGGGCTCCTGGAGGGCCAGGAACCCTCTGTGGGGTGGGACACGGGGAGCACCTGGCCCTTAGTGCCTGTTGGGGACAAGGCCATTGGGTCACAGGTCTAGCTTGCCCTCTCTGTCCCCTGGCCTCGGGAGAAGTGAAGAGGTGACGAGTTCTCTGAATTTACTGGAGCCCTAAGGGCCTGGGACAGCTGCCTGGCACCGTGGTGCCCCAGGTGCTGGGCAGACGGGCGAACAGCCCCTGCGGGTGCTCCCTGCACTCGGGGCCCGGCTGTGGGCGGGAGGGACCTCTGTTCTTACCCCAAGCACCAGCCGCCAGGCCATCGGCCCTGCCAAGTGGCCGCAGAAAAGGCCCAGAAGCCCCAACACATGATGGTGGGGCTGGTCCTTTCCCTGCTCTGAGCGGAGGCCAGACAGAGGGAAGTCAGAAATAGCTTGGAATATTCGAGACATAAAATCGAAACGTCACTTTTTCGTGTCAATACTTTAAAATATTTGTTCATTTTCGTTTTGTTTTAAACAGAGGTAAGATACATATGGCTGCGCCACACTCCCGGGCCGGGGCCCTGGTTTTCATTTCGGCCTCTGCAGTCCCCTCTCCCCGAGGGACCCTCGTCGTCCAATCCTCCTCCCGATACCTTCGTTTCCCAGGAGATGGATTCGAAGGAAATAAACTCGAGTGTGACTTCCATCTTACACAGTCCCCCAAGAGGGCAGCGGGGGTAACCCAGGGTCCTGGCCGGCCCCTCCTGTGGCCCCTGGCCCCCCGCTGCCTCGTCATCACAGACGCCCCCGTCGGAACTCAGCTAGGCTGAGAAAACAGTGCATTTTCAAAGAAAACTCCCCAGAACGAAATCCCTACACAAACACACGCACACACGCGCGCCCTCGCACGCACACACACACACACCCTTGTCACGCACGTGGGAAAAGAAATCCTCTTCCACTTTTTTTTCCATAAAACTTCCCCGCAGAAATACAATATTTACACAGAGAAATAAATAGACAACACACCTGATTTCTGCTTTCCCTGGTGGGAGACAGTCGGAGGTACTAGGGAAAATATGGCTTGGATTCTAATCTCTCGTGAACTGCCGGTGCGGTGCGGGGAAACACAGCGGGCGGCGGGGCCCTGGCGGGGGGCAGGACGGGCTCTCGACGTCCAGGACCTCGCTTTCCAGGGAAAGTGACAGGAACGCCTGGACCCTGCCCCGCGGGCTGCGTGTTCGCTCACTCGCCCCTCCTCCCGCTCGGCGGGGCGG